ACTTTAGTGCAACCTAATGCTTGACCAGGTCGTGCGTGGTACACGGAGACGGACAGCTGCAGCTCTGTCCGACGCTGCGCCCAATCCAACCTGCGGGCCGAAAGGTTTGGACAGTCAACTGGTGCATGGGGCAGCGAAAAGTGAGTTTAAAACCATAGAACCCCTCCCCGTGGCATACCAGTACACTCCTTACTATAATAAACCCAGTGCATATGAATCTATAACGACGCGCTAAAAGTCGTGACTTGGAAGGTTGTCAACTGACTGGGTAACTCGGAATGCGTGGTTAGTTCTGTTTGTGTATGTGGAATGACTGGCTGGCGGGATGACAGACATGTTCAATGGTCTCTTCCTAATGCGGCCTCTATGGCACTCGCGAATGTGAGTCAGGTCGCTCTTTTTCGTGAAAACCTGGTGTATTGTGCGCGGTCCATGCTGTGGGTGGCACGTTTTAACGGGCTGTTGAACTCTGCCAGCCAGTGCGCCTGAGTCATGACTCTGTCTCGCTACCGGCGCCAGGGGTTTAGGGAGGAGTGAGTGGTGGATTCTGTCCAAGTCCGCTACCACTATAAACTAATTCGCGCGCAAGTCACAGTCCTGCGCCGACCATCCAGTGGGGCACACGGTGGACATTATTGTATGCGACGGTCGAACCGTCAAAACTCCAAACAGGGCAGATAGGTAATTTTATGTTTCCGGTGATCAACAAGCCCTCTCATCTACCCGAAATAACTCATCTGCCTAAGCGCACTGATTAAAAAGCCTTATCTTCAGTAGAATTGATGCGGAACTTTTTGACTACTATCCACGGCATGGCCTTTACCAATGACTTGCCAAGTTTTTACAGGTAAAAAAAGAAGTAATACGGCGTAGTATGCCTTCGCCTGTCGCAATCAAACAAGTTGTGGAACGCCGAATAACCTGGGTGAACATGTATACGCAGATGCATGCTGAGCAAAAGCAACGTAAGAGTTCGATTTAAATAAGTGTATATTCGCATCAAAACGCAGTAGACAAATATTGAGCCAGAAGAGTACATCAGCGTATATCCAGATAAGATCAAGGTGTTTTTTACATTTTAGTTGGAAGAGGCAGAGTTAGCCTAAAATGAGGTATAAGGGGAGCTTATGTTCCGAGTAAATTCGGTAAAGCGACAAATGATGGCTATACTTCCGAGGGCAGCAAGAGGTGAACTGAGGGAAATGTGGGATCTCTGAGGGCGTAGTAGCCGATTGGGTAAAGAGTGCGTGTGGATAGGAGAAAAGAACAAAGTGATTGGTAACTTGATCAGAGCGGGACAGACAAACTTGAAGATACAGATGCAGATGAGGCATGTCTGGGGACGCGCGCACAACTCCTGAGAGACTTAACCAACTGGCCAATGAGCTGACGTTCCCGCTGTTGGTGCGAAACATTGGCTGGCCAGCGACAGACGGGGCAAATGAGTCGACCAGTGTCAAGCCACTGCTTCACGCAGGGTGAGTGGAAGGCGTGGCCACAAGAAAGTGCCGCCAGTTCGGTATCGGGCTCGAACTCACGCCAACAGACCACGCAGCAGTCACAGGGCACTACCCAACTTGGCCATCCAACCATTCTGTTTTGGGCAGAGTCAGACTCAGCAGCTCCCAATTCAAATACAGATGGCCGTCTTTCGTCGTCAGTCGAGGACGAGGAGGATGAGAAGGGAGATGACTGGCGCTGTCGACCGTCGGTCTGATTTCTGTGTCGGTGTCTAACTACCTGTCTGCCAGCCCCAACAACTGCAGCTTCATCATCCTCCGACTCGGCGTCATATCGTTCATCATCCCAGAGATGCCTCTGCGGTTGGAAGCAGGGGAAACGCAGTTCGTCAGTGCAATCCTGTTGTGGAGGGACGCAGTCTCTTTCTGGTCGAGCAGGTTGCTCAGTTGTTTCTACACCGGAAAACTTCCAGGTGTAAATCTTAGCTGGTGGCTCAGATGGCATTGGCGCGTTCAACTGACCGTTGCTACTCTGGTGAGCAGTGGTGTTTTGTGAGCGTAGAAGAAGCAGAATCTGTTCTGTATCTGTGGCGTCCAAAATGTGGCCTGACGATCCTGCTACCGCTCGCTCCAACTCCATGGCCTTCTTGTACAGTCTCGCAGCCTCAGACACTCTCACACTTGCCAGCGAGGACTTGCAGAGCCCGGCTGTGCCTGAAGAGAGATCAGTGTCAGAAGAACCGGGGGAGCTGGGTGGTTCGTTAGTAAACTCGGCGTCAGAGAGGACAAGATAGCGAGCTAATGAGGCCGGGGAATTAAGGGCAGCAGAAAGATAGTTCATTCTGAAGAGTTTCGCTAGGCAAGGAGCACGAAGAGTCCGTTGTTGCGAATCGGAGAAATGTCGTGTTGACTGATATTTAAAGAGAACGTCATAAAGCTTGTGAATGACAAAGGTGCAGAGTACATTGATTGCCAATGACGCGACGATTGTATACAGCGCCATACGCAAAAGGCAGTACAGAGAAAGGTCAATGTACAAGCCGTACACATTGAACGACGATACAAAGCCGCGAAGGAGCCTGAGCAGGACACTAACAACGGGCAGGGCGCGGCCCATGATATTAACTACAGGGAGGGCAGCCAAGAGGAAGAGCAAATTGGCCAAGAAAAGTTGAAAAACAAGGACGACCAGTGCATTCGCCCAAAGGGATGCCAGTGAAGTGAGGCTGCTCATGTTTTCTGTCGATGGTGTAACTTGCGACGTCGGAGGCGCATCGGTTGTGGGTGCATAGTTGCTCCAGCCCGCAAACGTAGTTTTTACAACGTTCAAAATTAGGCAAACTCGAGCCCTCATTGTAGGACTCACCATTTTGCGAGCCTTCGGTTTCTTGGTAAAAAGACGACAAGGGATGAATGCGCCAACATGTTGGCAGAAATTATGCACGAATTTACTGTGGAGAATAAAGATGGTCAGGCTGAGAAGGGAACGCAGAACAAGTACAAAGTTTAAGATAAGCAGGCCAGCAATAAATACGTCATTTGTAGACGGAAAATTCCAGTGGAGTAGGGCGTTCATGCGAGAATAGACCAGATACATTTTGTCTGACAACGATGGGATAAGAAGCTGGCACTTTCCCTCGGGTGTAATCAGAACAAAAGCGGCGTGGCCGTTGAGGTTGACGCGAGAGCAACCCAACTGTGCCAAAACTTGGGAGTATGATGCAACCTGGTTGGAGATCGGCCAGTCCTCATGAAAAGGCGACTTGCTCTCTGCAAAGCGCACATCGTGGCTATCCAGACGCCAGAGACGTGACCTCTCCATATGTGGGACGGCGAGTGCTGAGAATGCGAGAGGTGGACGAAATGCGATAGACTGTTGTCCACTGTGGATCGGATAAGTGCGGTTGAGTAGGCGCACGCCGGGCACCCAAACTAAATGCAACGGCTGGGGTTTTTGCCACATAAAGTCGGGCCAAAATGTCCCCTTTATTGAAGGAGGAGTACCAGGCTTAGGAAGGAGCTGAGTAGGAGAAGTCAGGAGTGAAACTCGCTGGGAAAGGACCTCTTCAAGCCATCTGGATACGTGGTCCGCTTGGCCGATGCAAACTCTCCTTCCCTCAATTGACAGATCATGGCATAGAGTCGTCGGCGACGAAGTGGGAAAGTTGAATCTGTGAAACTCTACTGCGTGTCGTCCATTACCAATGGAATTCGGCAGAGCCAGTATGAGGTTGGAGGCTGAGAAGGCGTGGTCCTTGCAAATACTGAAAAGTGAAAGATGTGACGAACCATGGAAGGGAAATGGAAATAGAAGCAAAAAACAGATGTCAGATACCAAGAGCCGCCGATCCGTTTTAGGGCCTCACTGCCTCCGACAAAGGACAAGATTAACAGAGAGTAAATTCGATATGCTGGCAGGGTCAACCCTGATAAAGTAAATCAACTTGCAACAGAGGACGGAGTTCACCTACAAGACTCAAGCCCCGGCTTCTAGCACTTGTAATGTAGCTTGAAGTGTCAATACAAAAGTAAAACTTTATCCATTTTAGGTGGTAATGGATCCGCTAGCTTCGTGTTACCCTGGAGTGTCAGGTTAAAGCCATCACAGGAGGTTAAATGGCGGCAGGTAACTAATAGGGCAAGAAGAATAGCGACATCCGTGTCCCAGCGGAAGTCTCTGTCATAGTGACTAATTTTGATTAATAGGAATGGCTGATGAGGATTTTCTTACTTCTACTTACGGCTATCTTCTGAGGCGATTCTTTCCAAACGGCTGAACTACACAGAAGAATTTGTGCAAAATAGTCTTAACAATGAAGGTGAGGCGAAGACCGCCATTGCTAAGTCTTGACCTCCGAGTCAACTCGTGATGTTTTACAGAGTTCATGTGCCTACCGAAAAAAACTGGCAAACGAAAAGTCGACTCTCCTGTGGTTGGATATGTCGAAAGACAGACAAAGATGAGTACTTACTCATCGAGTTTGTCACACAACAAGATCCCGAAGCGTACTTCGAAGGCCGCAAAACGGCGCACAAGATGACCCCAGGTGGTGGGAGTGACTGGAGACGATAATTCACCGGTCTTTGAGCATGTAGTCCGTTGCCGTCCATGCACAAAAGAGGTCGAACACCGTTGAGTAGCTGCGGAATTTTTCACGGAAAGAATCCAAACGCTTTGTCTGTTGTCTTCAATTCGCTCAACGAATAAACTAACGCTGTCAAATATAACTGTCCTCGGTGGAAATGAAGGCTGGGAGGGGCAAACTGTCGGTTGAGATGTTACAGAGGGCGCACGCGTTGTTGAGGAGAGAAATTGGTCCTGGTATAGACGTGAGTCGGGGTCGCAGGAGGAATTGAACTGCTGCAAGCGGGCATCGGCAGAGAGCGCCGACAGTGCTTCCTGTCTGCTAATATCGCCTGTGGGTGAAGCACAAGGATAAGGGTGAGTGATAGGGATGGCGAGAGTTTATGGCTTGTCTGCAAAAGAAAAAGTACCTGATCGTGAGGCAAGCGCCTCTAGGTCTTGTCTTTCCAGGGCCGATTCCGAGAAGACCCCCCGCTGTCGCAAGACGGACTTTATTACACTAGCCTTGAGAGTTTTAACTGATCGGCCTAGCTCGGAGAAAATTTGATCAGCTGACTGAAGACCACTTTCCTGAATTAACTGGTCTAGTGTGGGATTCTTGCCAGACAAGAAATAGGCTGATGCCGCCAAGCCAAGGAGGACATTGAGGTGAAGGCAACGGTTCGAAATGAATGTATTGAGCTGCTTTGGTCGTCGTTTAGGAAATTTGCCTGCACGCCGTTGGCGAAGAATAAATGAATACTTCAGGCGAAGGAGCCACCGTTTGAGTTCCTGGGATTGGACATCATCTGAGGGCAAGGTAAGGCTGTCCATGAGTTGCTAAAATTGACGAAATATCAGTAGTTCATTTTGACAAGCGTGTCAGAGGGTTAAATTAACAATGCACATAATTAACCTTCACCAGACCCTATTCGCGTAATCTGGCTGCCTAAAATGTAGCTTCCTTGTTATATAACCCAATAGCTTATCGGCAAGAACGGAGAATAACTCCTGTTGCACGTGAATTTCATACAAGTCACTCGACACTGTCGCTATCAGAGAAATCCCCCTAACACAGTAAGAACTGTTGAACGAAGTCGAGGCGATCATCGGATGGAAGAGCGTCATGAAGCCGGAGTCATTTTGTCATCACTGAGTCACTTGTACTCCTAATGACACAATTGGAGAGAAATAAAATTGCTACAGTGACGCAAAAATGAATGCCTTCTCTAGCAGATACACGAACATGTTCAAAGCAAGACTTGCTCAAAAACTGTACAAAACTACGAATCTCTAAGGTACCCGTTCAAACCATTACCCTGGTCGTTGTCTTACCCAAACGTCTGAAGGTGACAGATAAAGGAACAACCTTCGGTGACGGCTGGATAAGAGAGGAACAACCCAGCGAATATGCGGCCACGGACCACCTGCAATAGGGTTACGAGGGTGAAAGGATTGGAGTTTGACATATCAAATGTCATGCCGAAAGCCGCAAATGTGGATGACGGCACTGGCATGGACCAATTGTAGACGATAGACAGGCGCGCCCAAATGTGTGATCTCTTCGGTGCAGCGAACTAGACTGCCAGGACAGGGAAGTATTATAGACTTAGGAGGAAAATCTGACCATTATGACTGCGAAACCGGTGAGCGGCTTGTAGGTTTCACTGCGCAGGACCATTTGGTCGTCTCAAACACCCGTTTCGACACATTGACAGACATCTAATTCGGCAATGAGCACACTTAAAAGCTAATGGACTTCACGTCTATCCGGCCACGATGGGCCAGCTGCGTACTAGTCTCCAGCACGATACACGTTGTCGGCACTAACAGTGAAAAAGATTACGACCATGGGGAGTTGACCATGGTTAAGACCAGGTGTTGCCAGAATTTGACCCTCAGAGATAATTCTGGTGTCATGGTCCTCAGGCAGTGGTGGTCAAACGCTTGTAGCTTTGGCCCATCCACGCGCAACTTAGCACTCACTACTGTATAGGACTTACCGAACGGATGTTCGGTACGCTCAGACCTTCGCAGAGATGACAATGTCGCGTCTGACTCGTGGATATTTTCTAACGGTTGTAAATACTAAACCGAGCAGCATCCACTGAGGAGACGATGTCCTGATCACTCTGTCCAGTTAGCAACAGCTTCGCCAAGGCATATTTGGGACTGCTCATTTCTTTCGATTGTCAGCAATTAATTCCAAAGGATGCGCTCTCTTAGTCAGGGATGAGGCTTAATAACGCTTTGATCTTTCCACCGTCTACGGATAGGCCGACCGAATTAGTGATATTACCCAACCGAAACACTAGAGTCTATAGATCACTCAAGCTTGAAGCCACAAAGGCGATATCGTCAACGTAGTCGAGATCAGTAAGCCAGCGCTCGAGTGTCAATTTAACACCGTCAAAGCTGTGTGTAGTTAAAAAGAATGGGCTACAGAATACAACCCTGTCAAACGCCAGACCGAATATTGAACAGTCGGGCGGATTGCTGTGGAACGGAACTCGCGGTAGAGGAACGATAGGAGGTCCTGATAATTTCGACTTCTGTAAGCATGTCATCTCGCCCCGCCTTCCACCAAAAGACTCACGATGGACGGAATCGAACTCTGTGACGAAGTCAACAAAGCAGACGCCCGAAGGTTGCTGGTAGTTATGCCGGGGTCCAGGAACGCGCTGCAGTGTAAATATGTGGTCCGCGCATCCACGTCCAGCTCTAAACCTGGCTTGGTTGGGCTTCGTCCTCGAGTCACGCGAATTCCGAAACCGCCTGAGAATGTCAATAGCCGAGAACTTCGCAGCTCTGTTGAGGAGGCTTATGACGCGATAATTCTTGCACCTTGTCCTATCATCCTTTCTGAAGACATGCAGGAACGACCGCATCTGCCCACACTTTCTCAATAACTACACGGAGTCAGGAAATACCCTCCTTTCCGGGTGCCTTTTGCGCAGCCTTCGTGTTACATTGGCGATTTTTCCGCAGGGGTCACAAGGCAGTGTGTAGGCTTGAGAAATAAAGCTTTGATGCAGAGGAATGTAAGGGAGTAATGGGTTTTTCATTGATGTTGTGAAAAGGCTAAATATACTCACGCTAGCGCTCGACCTAAGCCGATTGATAGCAATAACAATGTGCCAGTTTATGGTCGCCATATCACAGCGTAGCCATCGGATCTTGCGGTTTTTCCCAAGGCACTCGGCAGGCCAGACCCTAGCCGTCCGCGCTCTAGTAGCAATGCCGATGCTGGTCCATGACTGCTTATTTGCCGGATGCAAGGGCTTGCTTAATTCACACCACCTGTGGACGTGCTGGGTTGCCAGTAGATAACTAACGGGGAACCCATATTCCGTCTAATGCACACAGATATATCGCAATTCCGACGGTCCAGAAGTCCTACATATAATTCAAACTAATTGCAAGCTGAGGGTAGCCATCACTGAACTACCACAGTCACTACTCTAGAGATCGGACGTCTGATGCGTCAACATGAAGGCGGAAACGTCGACGTCATTTTGCCTCGAGATGGATCTAGTTGGTGATGAGGTCGATGTGACGCACTTGGGAATGAGTGGGTGTAGCGAAAGCTGACCTCTAGCACATCTTTGCTTCACGGTCTAAGGTCAGCGGGGTTGGTGTGCCAACGGGCTCCACTAAACTTGTGTACCTGCTGTTGTTTGAATGCAGAGAAGGTGAGAACTTGCGATTCCGGCCAATCACAGCCTGGAGTCAGCTACATTAGTCACGAAAAATGCGGGCAAGTGGTTGTACTTTTGTAGTGCTAACCGCTCTTTAGTCGACCTTTACAAGCCGAAAGTATTATCGGTGCCTCGAAATCCTATAGACTATTACCTTAAACGTGTACGACGGGTGTTACGTAAGTTAAGTATTCTCCGCCGGCACCACAGTTAGGACTCCCCATAGACCAAGTCGTATTCCGTACACCCTAGCAAAGAACCCTGCATGGTCAGTTTTTTGCGGGGATCCAAGGCTACACAGGCTGGACTGTACAAGTACCCTGCGATTAACTGCTTTAGAAATCGAACTACACGAGTACAGTGCTGACTGTGTGTCCGCTTTCCGTCTAGTTCTCTGGTGGTATAATTCTCCCATGCATTTAAGTCTACAGACTGACTTATCAGCTCGGTGCGATAGTAAGACTGGATTAATGAGTTTGTGCTTCTTGGAATACGACTTACTCATAACCATCCCACCTAAGGTCGATGGCCATGGCAGCTAATGCGTCTGGTTCGAGTGTCTCTTTAACTAGGGCCAGACGCTCGGGTGAGTGGTCTTTTATACCAAAATTTTGCAATAAAATCGGCTTTGCATACAACTTTGTGACTTAATCGACGCAACACGTTGTCGGCGTAATACATTAAAGCAAATGTGCGGATTAGAAAAGAAAAGTGGGCCTAAAATAAATACAAACTTCCCAGGAACACAACAACTAAAAAATTGGTAAATGAAAAGAGAACAACATAGGGAGCTCAAGGGCGAAAGCCCCATGAGATCGTAGCCGTTACCCCAGGCGACATATACGTCAAACGTTTGCGTGAATGGGCGGTGGACTTCAAGATTGCACACGCTCCCATAAGAGCCCTTTTGGCTATTTCTAAGCCGATTGTGCCCCAACTACCGGCAGACCCCAGAACGCTCTTGGGAGCGGCCTATGATCTAAAGGTTGCCCCAATGGGTAGCGGTGAGTATGTGCACGTCGGCTTAGAAAGGCAAATACGTAGACTTATAAGTAAGAATATAGTAAACCCAGCTTGCGATATAGAGATTCTGTTGGCCATCGATGGTCTCCCAGTATTTAGAGAAACAAACACCGAGATGTGGCCAATCTTAGGCAGAATCTCGCAGCCCATTGTCATTAACGTTTTTCAAGTCGGCATTTACTGTGGTACTGGTAAACCGTCAGATGTACATGCATTCTGTAAGTCAGTAGTTAGTGAGTTAACATCATTAAGCGAACAAGGGATCAACAGCAGCGACAGCGCCGGACTGCAGACCCGCGTTCGCGTCAGCTATGTTATCTGTGACGCCCCTGCGAGGGCCTTCGTTAAGCAAATCAAGAACGTGAATGCGTATAATGGGTGCGAACGTTGTACAGTAACTGGTGTTTATATGGGTAAAGTAGTGTATCTAGAGAAAGGAGAGAGAGATAGGACGGATGAGGACTTCTTGCACTCTGTGGAGGACGAACACAGAGTCGGAGTGTCTCCATTCCTCTCTTGCAGCGTTGGCCTTATTAATCAATTTCCTCTAGATCCCATGCATCTAGTTTACTTGGGTGTAATAAAGCGCTTGCTAAGTTTGTGGGTAAGAAATCATCGTTCAAAGGACAGTGGTCGCACGACGCCTTCGGTACTGAAGGCAGTGCAGGTAAAGGCTATAGACGATAGGCTGCGTTCTTTAAACGCATGCCTTCCATCAGAATTTTCCCAAAAAGCTAGGTGTTTAAGTGAGTTCGAGTCCTGGAAGGCTACAGAGTTTAGGCAGTTTGTATTGTATGAAGGCCTTGTCGTTCTCCCGGGTATCCTGCCTCTTAATCATTATAAATTGTATTTAATGCTTTTTACTGCCCTTAGATTGCTGGCATCTCCTAGGACCTGCTACCGA